CTGACAAACTACCTAGCGGCTAATGTAATAGATATCGAATGTACAGGGAAATAAGCAGTGTGTCAAAAAGTCTAAACAACGAGCAAAATAAACTATCAATTCTCATTCTATTTTTACAATAGTGCAAAGATTTATTTTACAACCGTAAAAAATAGGTGCATTGTGGTTTTCTAAAATTCTACACGTGTATTCTGCTAGCTAGCATTTTGCCAATAGAAGTAGGGCCTACATACGTACATTGTTTTCATAGTATGTGTAGATACCATATATACAGGGGCGGAACTACAGTGCCGCCAGACCCCGCAATGCGGGGGGGCCCAGGCCGTTTAGGGGCCCATGGCCGACCATAATCAATTTTTTAATAGTTAAAAAAAATAATTTTCTAGTAACAAAAAGATCTAATACAGTAGTTATGTTCTACAATAATAACACACGCTGTTTCGTAAAGGAAAAAAATATGTAGGCTACATGACTTGTAGTGTGAAAGATAGGCAACCGTTCAAACCACTTCCATGACTTATTTCCCTTTTTAAATAGTCAAATATGTGTGCTCTTAAGAAACTTTTAATAGATTTGCACTAAACAAATTAAAAAGCAATCACTTCTCCTATTATTTAAAAAATAAATAATAAAGAATAACATAGTATAAAAAGGAAATGTATTACAATCTAATAATATAAATGCTAAAAAAACATAAAAATAAACATAAGGCGAGAAACCATTACACATACAAAGCTTTCATGCTTCATATTCTTTTGACCGACTTGTCAACCACTTCCTCGGCTCAATAAAACCGTAGAACTGGATGGTGACCCACTTACCAGCCATATTAAGGAAGCATTATGCCAGACATTAAAACAGAGAATTTCAAAACAGACCAATAGCACTCACACAATTGATGTGTTGTTTTAACATGTTTTAATAAAATCAAAAACTAAGAATGTTTAATATTTTAAAATTGCGATCATGCCCGTATTGAGTATTCTATGTTCGTATTTCGTATATAGGGTCATATATATATATATATATATATATATATATATATATATATATATATATATATATATATATATATATATATATATATATATATATATATATGGGGCCCAAAAAATTTTTTTTGCGGGGTGGCCCTTTTTTTCTAGTTCCGCCACTGCATATATATATAATTATATATATATATATATATATATATATATATATATATATATATATATATATATATATATATATATATATATATATATATATATATATATATATATATATATATATATATACATGCACGTTAAGTATTTAAAACTGAAAGCATCTTAGTATTATTGAGCTAAAAATAAACCACAAAACCAGGTTCTATTTCTATGCTAATATTGACCCGGTCACCTATTGTCTGGGTCACCGTAACCCGGCAGGTTTTTGTGGCTTTTGTGTTTTAGCAACTTCAAAGACAGCGTTAACAAGACAAATCACAACCGGATGTTCGTGTTTGCCTGCTAAAAATAGATCGATGATGCCCTCCCCTCCGCCGTAGGCCTTTTTTTTTTATTAAGGACACGAACTTAACGGTTTTATTTGTTGCTACTTCAGTCCGTCTTTAAAAAACTTAGTTGTGTGTTAGTTGGTATAGTACAATTCGATTTAAAACAAATATACACTTAACATATGATTTAACACAGTTTATAACAAATTAAAAGTGAGTAAATAAATAGTTTGGTTTATTTTAGTTGATTAAAACATTAAAACTTTTATGTTAAAGCGTTAAAATGTGTTATATTAAAGCGTTAAAGTGTTTTTCTAAAGCGTTAAAGTGTGTTATTTTAAAGCGTTAAAGTGTGTTATGTTAACCATTTAAAATGTGTTGTATTAAAGTGCTTAAATGTTTGTTAAAAGGTTAAAGCATTAAAGTATTAAAAATGAAATACGACCCAAACAAATACAAGCCTAAATTCAAAGTTTTTTCTTCGTACTCGTTGGATGATTACTATTTTATAATCGGATATTATTCCTCACAACGATACTTCTACACTAAGTCTAGTCCTAATCCTTACCAAAATATTAGCCTAACTTAAGTTCAGATTAGCAATATACGCCACACCTATACGGTAATTATGAAGTTGCAATGAATCGATATCTTCACTTCTTGTTCTGAATAATTTAAAAAAAATAATTGTTGATGAAAACTTGAACAAATATCGTGTCATGAAAAAACGCTGAGTAAAACAAATATCGAAAACATAATCAACGTCATACAGTATCGATCCTTTATGTCATATTCGGTAGTCGAGTACACACATTGATTAGAGCGGAAGTGGTGTTAAAATCCTGATACAGCCTCTCGTCTTGCGCGACGTGTTTGCCGGGAGTTGTTTCCCTTAAGTCAACGTCCACGGATGACTGCGTGCGGTGGCTACAATACGTGAATTGTTCTGAAACAGTGGAACAAAAGGCATTTGTGGGGCAAATTTGTATTTAGTGGGTAGGGAGGAGTGGTGTGAAGGGGGGGGGGGGTGAAGGTTGCTGACGATGGTTAATTTTGTACTTACTGGTGAGAATAGTTTGTTGGATGGGAGGAGGGGGATTTAGGGGAGGGGGTGCTGACGATTGTTAATTTTGTGTTTAGAGGTGGGAATATGTTGTAGAAATTGGAAGGGAAGAAGGGGACGAGAGGGGGTGGGGAGGAAGGGGTTGCTGACGATGGTTAAGTTTGTGTTTATCGGAGGGAATGTGTTGTACTAAGTTGTGAAGGGGAATGGGGGGGGGGGGGTGATGACGATTGTTAAATCTGTATTTAGGGGTGGGAATATGTTGTAGTAAGTTGAATGGGATTAGGAATTAGGGGGGGGGGGTGCTGATGATTGTTTATATTGTTCAATTAAAGGGGTGGATGTGGTAGTGTGGGTATGGTGGTGGGGGTTGTATACTAGCACATCACATGACTGACATTTGTTTTAGTGTTTTGTTATTGGTCTATTCTCCTTCAATGAGACGCTTCCTATCAGGTCCCTGATGAAATCGATCATACCCAACTTTACTCTTAACTAAACCATAAACGTTACCCTTATACAATTGAGTCATTGACGCCAGCTTTCTCGTCCAGTGAAAATTAAATTAACTGACGCCAGGGTTAAGAGTCCAACGCTTCCAACGTTTAATTTTCAAAGTAATTAAAAAAGAAATTAAATATTCCGCAAGAATTACGTTCACCCCCTCCCCCAGAATGTATTTCTATTATGAATTTACTCAGCCCTAACTAGTACCTGCCTTGCATTTGAGAATGTTGTTTTATAGACCGAATCCTTTCATAAACTTTCTCTACAGAAACAGTTAAACTCTACTTCACCCGTCGATATGGATTGAATATAAAGTATATACTTATACTTGTAAATACTTATTTATTAAAGTGATGTATAAAAACCTGTGTTTGTGCTGCATGTGAGAAAATATACTTGGGACGTAGCTACAATGTGTGCGTGTTTCGTAGTCAGGTAAACAGCGGGTCTTGTTGTTATATATAAGTTATATATAAGTTGTTATATTAAGTTAAAGGAACAGATGAACTCTACTTTACCTATTTTAAAACCAGGGGGGGGGGGGAAGGGAGAGGTGCATGAAAGAAACATTTATCAAAATTTTGTCATTTCTTGCCATTTTGTCAATATATTCAAACAACCAACATTTAAAAAAAAAAAAAATTGCTAATAATCACAAAAACAAACAAATGAGTGCTGCGGTTCGAGAATCGCAAATATATATGTACATACGATTGTAGTAATTCAGTGAGGTTGAAATCAATCGCTAATTAACAGAGAATTTGTTATCGACCAAATCCAATCCATAATCGATATAATAAGCTGAGCTATTTGATTACACGTTGGTACAGGACGGATCTATTTTCATCCCATCATTGTAGTGGCTGTCAAGATGGCGGTATCCGACCCCCCCCCCCCCCCCCCCCCACCATTTCTACTCCATCCCTAAACACCATGACGCCCAAAGAACGAGGAGTGAGCGGGGCGGGGAGTTTCCGTGTAGCTTGACGGGCTATGGACACGCCGAATATCGGCTGCGCGGACCACAGCGGAAAAGACTTTTTTTTTTTTTCATTTTTTTTTTACCGCGGCGTGTTTTGTTTCCAAGATTACTAGCAACAGGGGCCCGTGAATGCATTGTTCGACGGGGAGTTAAACGTAAGAGCCGGGCACTTGATTGTGGAAGGATGTAACTTAGGACTGTTGTAAGAAAAGGTTGTTGCGGGACATAGGGATGGATTTCTTTTCGTTGGAAGATAACAGACTTATATAACTGGGATGATTTTTTTGTAATTGTAAAGTATGTTTTAATTTCTACTTTGATGTTCGTAACATTATTTAAAATCAATTTGCCTTTAAACTTTTAATAATTTTTCTTCATTCTGGAAATTTTCTACCGAGAGAATACATAAATTAATGAAATATCTTTACATATATCTACATATCTCTCTCTTTTCTCTCTCTCTCTCTCTATATATATACACACACACACACACATATATATATATATATATATATATATATATATATATATATATATATATATATATATATATATATATATATATATATATATATATAATAGGTAGGTTATTTTCTGCAGATACATTAAATCAGTTATTAAGTATTTGTCCATATAATGCACTATGCAACATATTTACATTAACGAAGTTTGATTTAACTTTATCGATTATGTTCTATCTGTTCAAAACGCCTTTTGCTTAAAAATCATAAATGTCTAAAGCTATCAAATTATTAAAACGTTTCATCTAACATTTTTTCAGTGTGCTTTCGGTTGCTTTAAATTTACTAATTCACGTCATTGAACCAATTCAGCTGCTGTCATGTGTCTTAATTTTATGAAGGCATTTCATTGATCTTTTTAGTTTCTGTTGAATAACATCACTTTATTAAGACATGTCATATCTTCTGTCAAACGCCATCAACATTTTTTCTTCTTTTGTTTCCCAGGTGATCAAGGCTACAGTCACGTGATCACACACCGTTTGACGTCATCAAGTCGACTGTCTGTTCCCGAGCTGACCTATCCTCATCGAATCTGCCGATCGATTCTTTAAATATTGGTTTCAATCACGAACACAGTGGTGAGCAGTGAATAACTAATTCGCCATCAGAAATCTAGGGGAACTGTGTGTACTGAGAACTCAATTTGTCAGCAATTATCAGAAATCTGATTATAATCTGTGATTATAAAAGCTAGGAGGTTATAGACATAATCTGTCTATCGTTAGAACAACGCGAAGTCCACTTTTGTTCTAGAACTTAAGAACATCTAGTGTATTTTCTCATAACTTGACAATTTTTCTATTTCAACACGGGGAGTGTTGGTTGAATTGTGGTGATAAATTTGTTGTTACCTCGGCTGAATGGTGTGTTGAGACAGACGGGAGTCACGTGGTATCATGAAGTCTACCGACGGGAAGACGAGCCAGGTCAATCACCTACCGGAGGCTGTCACATTGGTGAGTTGTTTTTTTTTTGTCTAATGAGGCTAATTACATATAAACAATAATTAGTGACATTTTGTCTAATGAGGAAGCTAATTACATATAAACACTAATTAGTGACATTTTTTCTAATGATAAAAGCTAATTACATATAAACACTAATTAGTGACATTTTATCTATGATCGGGCTAATTACATATAAACACTAATTAGTGATATTTTGTCTAATGATGAGACTAATTACATATAAACACTAATTAGTGATATTTTGTCTAATGATAAAGCTAATTACATATAAACACTAATTAGTGATATTTTGTCTAATGGTGAGGCTAATTACATACATACACTAATTAGCGTTCTTTTGTCTAATGATGAGACTAACTACATACCGTAGCTAATTAGCGTTCTTTTGTCTAATGATGAGACTAATTACATATATACACTAATTATCGTTGTTTTGTCTAATGATGAGACTAATTACATATAAACACTAATTAGTGTTCTTTTGTCTAATGATGAGGCTAATTACATATATACACTAATTAGCGTTCTTCTGTCTAATGATGAGGCTAAATATATTTCCAAGCTAATTAGCGTTCTTTTGTGTAATAAATGGACTTATCACATATCAACGCTAAATAACTGTTTAAGCCTTATATTGAAAATAATATCATTCTGAAACAAAACTATTTTTTTTGTACCTTTTATTGAAACAAATTACATTATTATTATAGAAAACTACAATAATTTTTTTTTATGCCACTAAAAAAAAACTAATAACATATCAATAAATAGGAACATTTTTGGCGTACTGATAAAACAAATGAAATATAGCTAAAAGGTTCATTTTCACGTTAAGTCCAGAGATTTATAAAAATTATGCCTGGTTTCTTTATGACTATGTTAGATTTATAGATTTATAAAAGTTATTTCTAGGTTTTTTTTTTAAACTTCCAACAACGATCAAAGAATTATAAAAATTATACCTGGCTTTTTTTATAACTTTATGCTCGATTTGTAAATTTATAATATTTATATCTGGAGATTTTATAAATTTTTGCAACGCTCAGAAACTTTTTAAAGTTACACCTGATGTGTAAATAGCTTTTTGTTAGATTTAGAAATTACAAAAAGTATAGACCTAAACAGTTTCTTCACAACTTTTAGTTAAGTTTAGAGATTCATGAAAGATATAGACTCTACCTGGTTTCTGAATAACATTTTTTTGGTAGATTCAGCGATGTATATATACACACACACACACACACACACACACACGTTATAATTCTGCTCTAGTCATGTAGCCACTGATATATTAATGTGAATTTTTACGTGTTTAATATGAACTATCAAGTTAAACTTTAAATATTTTTAACATCGAATGATAATGAAGAAATATTTTGGCATTCTACTTTGATGAAGTCAATATCAATTAATTAGCGTTCACAGTTAATCACAAAATGAGAGGTATTGACGGCTGTGGTCAATATTGACCTTTTGAACTCTGACCCTAATGGAGCTGCCGTGGTTGGTCAATGTACGGGTCAATGACCTTGGTGTAGGATAAACAAAATACACTACAATACATCTATAATTTTTTTCATTTTAGATACAACAGTTGGTTTCGAAACATCGTTAAATTATGTGTCAAAACTGATTAAGATTCAGTCGTTAAAATACTTTACTGTAGACTCGTTCTTGTTCGCTGTGTGCCATTTATCATCGTCTTTTCGCGCTTAAAACTCATGAGGCAGATGAAGTAGAGTTCATATCTTTCATTGACCTCGGTATACAATCGGTGAAATAGTATGGTCATCACTATGTCCAGCCGTCTTTATTTCCGTAACGTGAGTCGGGTACCCATCATAGCTGGGTTGACTCAAGGACGTCCTATAGACTCAAACCCAGGATCTTGACTGAGATTACTTGTAAAATAAACTATTAATGCACTCCTTGTCCATAACCAGCCGCAGACGATTCCTTGACTTTTTTTGTTTAATTCATTCTTCTTCCCCGAGTTTCACTGCAATACTCCACTAGAAGCATACATCAAAGCTAATGAAGACTTTATTAAACAGTCACAAAACCACTTTTCTGTGGTTTCATCTGCGCTAGTATTTAATTTATGACTTTACATGCATTACTCACACAGCTATGCTGTTAACATTAGCCCCTTTCCTGCTATTACAGATAAAATGTTAACATTTTTCATCATATGCTATTACATATAAAATATTCACATTAGATATAGATCTACCAAGTTAACATTTGTTCCTGCCCTGTTTTTACAGATAAATATTAACGTTTTCCAGACATGCTGTAACATATGAAAAATTAACATTCGTTAATTGTGAAATGTTAACATTCATCCCTTCTCTTTATAAGTAAAATCTTAACATACGCCGTTATCTTGCTATAACCGGTAATATGTTAAAAAATTTCCAGACATATTAATACATAGAAAAGTTAATATTCGTCCCTTTCTTGCTGTGACCGGTAACTGCTATAAAATGTTAACATTCATCCTCTTTGCTACTACACGTAAAATGTTAACATTTATCCTTACTCTGCTATTACACGTGAACTGTTAACATTTATCCCTACCCTGCCATAATAACTAAACTGCAAAATTTTCCCTGCCTTACTACTACACATAACATGTTAGTATTCATCCTCCTTGCTACTACTCATAAAATGTTAACATTCTTCCTCCTTGCTACTACATGTAAAATGTTAACATGTATCCCTACCTGGGTTTTACAGGTAAAAAAAGAAACGATCAAGTCCTTCGCTCACACCAAGCGTGTCGGCAACTACTTGCTCGGTCGTACCCTCGGGGTGGGGAGCTTCGCCAAGGTCAAGGAAGGTCTTCATCTCACCACAGGTGAAAAGGTCAGTACTTCCGGTGACGTCTGTAACACCTAATTCCAGGTTTTTGGTGAAACGTTTCCTGGTTTAATGGTCAACATGTCCGGGGTTCAGTTGTTGATTAAAGTTTTAGAAACATTGAGTGTCCTTGAGCTAAATCAGTTTTAAATGGTGCCCAGCATAACTTTGGAGAGTGGAGAGGGGTTGAACTAAGCCCCATGTACCACGCAATACATTCCTTTTTGGTAACGTGGCTTTGAATATAAGCACTCTTATATTCATTCACCTGATCATTATCATTATCCCTATGATTATCCCCATGATAATCCCTATGATCCTGAGGATTATCATTCTCAGTATAACACTTTAACTGCTCGAGTTGGTAAAAGCCACTTCGGTTGTGCCAGATCAGTTGTGTGGCTGAGAGGGGAAATAATCCAGGTCTAACTCTAATAAACAATGCCTTTTGTTGTTGGGGGGAGGGGGGGGGAAGGTAGTTTAACATCATGGAGTGCAGATACGTAGACCTATTGGCGTCTTATATTAATATAATAGTTGTCTTGAATGCTAATATTGTCGAGGAATAACAGTAAAAATAATAAAAAAATAATTTTTAAAAAAATCTATAAAATAATAATAATAATACAAAATAATAATAATACAACTAATAGTAATAATAATTCCTGTTATAAAAATAATCACAATAGTAAAAGTAATGATAATAATAAAATCAATGACTAAATTTGAAATTTCCGGTGAGGGGCGGATACTGGTAAGGTAAAAGTATATACTTTATATATAGATTATATTTTGTTTTCCTATGTCGGACTAGGGCGTTGGACATGCTATTTTTTTAAAAGACATAAATAACTTTATCCTAATAAAACATGTAGAGTTAGCTTTAAAGAATAGTTCAGGCACTAAGGCGATTAATAAGTTTTGTATGTGTCCCTTCACACATTTAGCATACACCTGAACGGATGCAATTGGATTTCTCTCACACATCAGAAGCTAAACAAAATCTCTATGCAATCCAGCGCACAAAAAAGGAAGAATTTTTCGGTTACTTTTTTTTTTCTTTTTCTTCTTCAGAACTGCGTAATATAAACAAGGTAATTAAAAAGTCTAGTGACAATTTTAGCGCAATTTCCTTATGTTATCTAAAAATAGCTCTGTCGTAGCGTAAATCAAGAGCAGGGTTAGTAAAACCATTGGTTAGTTATTAAAACGTTTTTTATTAATTTTTTTCAGTATTTTACATGTTTTATTTACAATAGAGTTACATGACTAAAAACCATTGCGCGCCTACTGAACGTGATGGCGCAGCCATGGAACGCGATGGCGCAGCTATTGAACGTGATGACGCGTGTGGTGTGGTTGGAAAAAATGCCTACTAATTCGGTCCAAATTTTAATTAATTCAAAAAAAAATTTGTGACCGAACGAAAGGATATTTTTGAAAACTTTCTTCGGCAATATTGTTCTAAATTATGGCAGGAATCGATTGGTACATGTTTGAAGTCGCTAAGTTGTCAGGCTGCCGAGATATGGGCCAAAAACTGAATTTTTTCGAGTTTTTTTGGCTTTTCCGGGAAATACATGAAAGAAACCCGGATTTTTTATGGCCTATGCTCATTCTCGTAACTTGCTTAACATAAATGCTTTTGGAACTAGTCATCGATATTGCTTCGTTGAGGAGGAGATACGACTTAAAGCCCGGACACACATTCATCCATACATTCATCTATCCATTCATTCATCCATCCATTCCCAGAAATGACGAGTTAATAAACGCAATTCTCCAGAATGGAAATTGCGCTAAAAACAGTTAAAATATAGTTATATTTATATAAGTGGCGTAGCGAGGTCGGGTGTCACCCGGTGCGGCACTTAATGGTGTCACCCCCCAGAGGCGTAGCGATAAATTTTCGATTTGCACCCCCCCCCCCCCTCAAACTTTCGATTTGCACCCCCTCTATATATTTTGCTATTTTTTGCCTTGGTGTCACCCCCTAAATGGTGTCACCCGGTGCGGTCCGCACCCCCGCCTCCCCCTCGCTACGCCTCTGATTTATATCAATCATTAGGGAGCAATACACATTTTTCTGTCTTTAATTTGTCTTTTTTAAAGTTCGTTCCTATTTTATATGGTTTCTTAAAAGTTGAATTGACAAAGTTTTTTTTTTGTCAAATGACCGAAAATAGAACTGTATTGGACATTTCTTTTAAAAAAGGAGTTCTAGGTTACAGTAAGGGAAGTATAAGAGAATATAACTCGACAATATCAGTACCAACCTTATCCGTAACCTAAACACTAAGTCTTAAAATAGCTTGAACAATAATACTAAACTTGATGTAACAATCAGAGGCGTAGCGGGGGGGGGGGGGGGGAGGGGGCGGGTGGTGCGGACCGCACCGGGTGACACCATTTAAGGGGGTGACACCAAGGCAAAAAATAGCAAAATATATAGAGAAAAACTTGAGGGCGGTGCAAATCGAAAGTTTGAGGGGGAGAGGTGCAAATCGAAAACTTGAGGGGGGGGGGTGCATATCGAAAGTTTGAGGGGGGTGCACATTTTGAAAGTTTGTACCGGGAAGGGTCGCTACGCCTCTGGGGGGTGACACCATTAAGTGCCGCATTGGATGACACCCGACCTCGCTACGCCACTGGTAACAATACTTCCAACAAGCTAAGAACCGTCTGATTAGAAAAGTCCATTGAGGGAAACTGTAGGATACCCCAGTTACTCTATCTGACCAGACATCATTATGACAGTTAAAGTAGAGTACACCAGTTTCTTAGACCAGAGGCGTAGCGAGGGGGGCGAGGGGGGGGGACATATGTCCCCGGGTGCCGAACTTAGGGGGCGCCAAAATGGGTTGTAAAAACAAATTGAAAGTTTGAGGGTTGGGTGTAAATCGAAAGTTTGAGGGGGGGGGGGGGGGTGCAAATCGAAAGTTAGTCCCCGGGCGCCGGGAAGGGTCGCTACGCCTCTGTCTTAGACCTCGGTATACACAAGCCAACCCCCCCTCCTTTTAACTTTCTCTAACTAATATCAAGTACCCATCTGAGTGGGGTGGCCTTAGAGTCTCTTCACGTGTAATTTGAATTAAAAAATCGCGTCGCGAAAGGGGATGTAATATTCCGCAAATTAGTTCTAGAGAAGGCAACTCTACTCTAATAAATCTACCAGTTATCTGCGTTTATATTTACAGCAAAGATTGAGATCAGAGGATTTAAAAAAAAACGTGGTGATGATTAGCACTGAGCCCTTGTTACCACTATTTAGATCATTTAGAGTTATTTAAAAAAAACATTGATATTTTCAAATAAATAATCGTGCGCTAGCACTTAGAAATCCGATCCTAGAATCCCCTGCAAACCTTACTCTACCCCACTCCCCTCATCAATAAAGTTGAGTTCTAAACAATCCTGATCAGTTTTTGTCAAAAGGAATTAAACACACACCTCGCGCTGAGAGTTTAATTAAAACCAGCGTGAAAGGAGAAGTTGATTACAGCCTTTGAAACCAGATACACAATTGTGGGTTGTTTTTTTTTTTTTTTTTTTTTTTTTTTTTTTTTTTTTTTTGTAATTACAATACGTTCTTAATTAATTCAATCGTCGATTTTTATCCCCACATCACAAACACAGCATGAGATATTTATTTTTGTTTTTGATTTAAAAAAATATGTCTGTATTATTTTAAGCTAGGTGCGGTAAGAAATAAAGTAACTTTGGAGTTATGGTCCTTTACCAATACACTGACGTTACATAGGGGTGCGAGGGGTGCGTCCTATAGGTGACACCTCCAGGGGGAGACACACATAGATAAACTGGATAGGGTTGATAAAAAATGGGTCGTAGTTAACTAGATAACCGCGTAAGGGGAAGAAAGTGGGGCAGGGTGACACCAAAATAAAATGTGGAAATGTTTAAAATAGAACGCTTGGTCGGGCTCTCGTCTTTGTCGTTTGAGTGGCGATCCCCCCTTTATAAGTTTGGTTAGTTTAGCCTGTGGAGTTTCTTTCAGAAATTTCTTCGCCATTCCCCCCCCCCCCCCCCTCACCCCCAACAAAATATAATTTATATAGAAAATATATTCTGTTACCCTGTCGACCCCCCCCCCCCCCCGGGACAATGTAGTCTCCCCCCCCCCCTCCACGAAAATTTTAAGTGCTCGTTAATCCGTTTAACGTTAATCATGCATAAAGCTTAAAACATTAAGTAACCCCATCACACGGAGCAAAGGTCTATTGATACCACAACCTCTAACCCGAGTCGCATTGTGCTGTTGTATAAAAGCTCTTGACGCCTTGGTTTATTTTTACCACAGCAGTGAACGTTCATAATCTCCCCATTTGTAACACTGGGATCAACTTCAGTCATAGGTGCATGTTGTTCTAGTTTCAATGCTTTCTTGTACACCAAGCGTAGACAACTTCATTTACGGACAATAATTGTGGGACAGGGTCGTTATGATACAATCCCATAAAATAATGACAGATTATCATAAAATAATAATAATAACGAGCCGACCCGCGGCGTATCATACGCCGCTATTTAGTTGTTTTATTTTCTACTTTTCAGTAATTCATAATTCATTTGTGAATTCGACAGTACCAGTGCTGCCACTGAAAATGTTTGCTTTAAAACACTAACCCGCCCCCCCCCCCCCCCTTTCCCCTAACCCCGACCCTACACCCCCCTCCCCCCCCCCTGAAAGCAGCCTCCTCTTAGTTACCTACTGTAAGTTTAAAATCGTTTTAAACTAAATTATCTGCCCCTAATAGCCGTCACTAAACCCGGCTGTACGATTTGTAAACATTTAACGTGACCACAACTCACCAGACCATGTGAGGGGGGTGGTGGTGGTAGTGATAGTGATAGTGATAGAGAGAAAGAGAGGGGACTGCAAGGAGGCGCTTGCAGCTTGTTTTCTAACGTCTCCCAGAAGAGAATTATATATATAAAAGAAGATATAGTGATATTGTGATTATAAAACGTGAAATGTTTGTTATATA